CCCTACCCTCTTTAAAAAGCCCATATAGCTAAGCTCGGCCCTAATTTTTTTCTGCCAAGTTCAGGCTAGCCTGTCGAACTTGGCTAAAATTACTAACTCTATATACATATAAAGCTATAAATTTTAATAGTCGAGCTTATTCGAGTTGGGTTTAAAGTATCATACCCTTTTAAAAAGCTTATGTATCCAAGTCCGACCTTAACTTTTTTTGGGCGAGTTTAAGCTGGCCCATTGGGCTTGGCCCAAATTACCAGCTCTATTAAAATTGATATTTGTATACTTGACGAAGAAGCAAGTGTCTAGGACCATGTTGCCCATCCACAGAAGATACTGGTTAATGTTGATGAAGTTGCCAATTTCGCTTTCCATGAAGATAATACAACATAAAATACTTTAAGGTACTTGATGCTTCTTTAAAAAAAACTTTAGGGGCAAAAATACACTTTACCCTTACTTATAACAAGAACAAAAAATAAAAAATTTTGAGCCTATGAGTATTGCGCTTGTAAAAAGACAATATTAAAAAAAGGAGTTGAGTTTGGACTAGTCAATGGACACGATCCAATGGGTCATCGGGTCAAGTTTAACTAAACTCAACTCGATTGATAAATTTTTTTAAGAAAATCAAATTTAAAAATAATAATGATAATGATAATGATAAGGCCACATGGCGTGTGGGACCCATAGAAAGGACTAATTGCCATGTGGAAGAGCCCACTCAAAGTAGCACGGTGCATGGAGCACATTAGGCTAACACATGTCAACTTTGGAGGCCAGGAAAGGTCCTATTCTACGCTCTACCAGGGACACTTGTGGGGTTACCTTTGACAAAGGGGGAGGTGAACATTAAAAAGGTTCTTTTTTAATGTTCTCCCCCCCTCTTTTCAAAGCTTACCCTCAGGTTTCCTTGATAGGGTGGAGAGTGGGACCCTTTCGAGCCTAATTTACCCAGGATAGGGTACACTGGTAGTGTAGCCTTTCTAAAGCCTTCCTAATGATTGAATTCCCAAGGCTTTAGAAAGGGCTATACTACCAACATACCCTATCCTAAGTAAATTGGGCTTGAAAGGGACCCACTCTCCACCCTACCAAGGAAACCTGGGGGTAAACTCTGAAAAGAGGGAGGGAGAACATTAGAATGGCACCTTTTTAATGTTCACCTCTCACTTCGTCAAGGGTAACCCCGCAAGTGTCTTTGGTAATGTGTAGAATAGTACACTCTCGAGCTCATTTACTCATTCGAGGGTATATGGCAATACACCATCCCCATACCTTCCCAATAATTGAATTCCCAACTCCTAAGGGCTTGACATATCGCTTACCCTTGGGGTTTGATCCCATAACTTCTCATACTTAACAAAGCAGTGGGCAATTGGTACTTCTAAGCTGATCAACTCAGTGGCACTAATGTTGCCCACTTTTTTGCTTTGTAGGAGAGGTTATGGGATCGAACCTCAGAGGTGCGCAATATTACATGTGCTTAAGAACTATACTTGGGAAGTGAGTGAATGAATCCCTACTTTATTGTTGTGTGAATCCTAAAAGGGAATAATCCTTTAACGATGTCCTTTGACTTTGATATTATCATGTAGATAGGTCATAGTATCTACTACTTTAACATATATCCTATGGTCATGATAAATACGATCTAAATGTCTCATGTTAGGAAAGTAGTTGTTTCCTCTTAAAGTGATATGCGTGCAAAAGGAAGACTACCTGAAATATACACACTTATACCTATGTCCAAGACATCTCCTTTATGAAACAATTTGTTGATTTATAAGTATGGATACTTTGCATTCAAGAGAGACTATATGAGTCTTAAACTGACTCATAGGGATTATATTAGTCATGATGAGAAAAGTTTATATTGATAAATTTAGGACATTCTAGGCATAAATTTAATTAAGAACAAATTAACTATAAAGTTATTTGTGCTGATTCTTAAAAGGTTTTCTAGTACAAATACCCAAAATTGAGACATCAAGCTTATGCAATCACAACAAGACACCTAGTGTGAAAAAAGGAAGGGAAAAGGATAAAACTAGTAATATCTAGTTTACAAAGTGTGCTTGGGAGATGTTGCGTCATTCATGCTTGATGGGTTGAAGCCCAACATAAATAGAAGCCTAAAATTAGAGTTGGAGCTTTATTAGAATACTTGAAAAGTAGGGGTCTTTGTGCATAATAAAATTGGGACCATAAGTGTAATATTTTCATTGTTCATTTTTTAATTTTGAGTGGGATTTTCGCTAAAAACATGCACATTCTTCACATAACCACTTTGTGGGCAGTTTATAGGGGAGGCCAGAGAGAAAATGTAGACACTTTACATTCCCTTAATACTTTCTCCCATCTCTTTTTTCTCTTCTCTTTGTGCTTTTGTTGTATTCTTGAACTGAGTCTGAGCTCGTGATTTTGTCCTTCACTTCATACATTTTTTTTTTCTAATGTGACAAAATATTCAAGTACGCTTCTTCCTTGAAGTTCTATTAAAATTAAATAAAACATATATCAAAAATAAACAAAGGCCTTTGTCTTAGCAATATTGAACATTCCTCAATTGAAATTTGATTGAGAGAAGGTGAATGAGGGGATCCAAATCCCAATTTACATGCAATCCCCCTGTACGGAGGTCTAACCATATTCCATAAGCTATCATTGAATAATGCATATTCCATCAATACACGTGGTTTTTAGTCTTGAAGTAAAGGAGTCTGGATCCTCATCCATGTTAGACAATTAGAGATAAAGATGTGGAATTAGAAATATTATGCAGTGAGAGACAGTCTGAGTGGGTCCGAAATCATGCGTATGCTGACCCCATAGAGATCGTAGAGCTGATAGTATATACCAGTACCCTTAGCGCTTTATGTTTGCCCCTACAAATTGCAAAGTCTGTTATGAAGATGCCAGATCGTCATTTTGCTCTGCATTTCTCCAAAGATATTTGGGTCTTCCATTTCCTTCTCAAATAATCTTGATTTTAAATTGTTTTTGAAACATTTGTAATGTTATATTTATCAAAATTATAAAAAATTTAATATTAAATCTAGATTATTTTTTATGCTTAATAAAAAATGTGACATGATAATCATTGCCCCTGATGATATCTGAACAATCCATATTTAAGCTTTTTATTTTTATTTTATATTTAAGCTTTTTATTTTTATTTTATATTTATTTACATAAAAATATGTAAAAAAATATAGAAATCTTTTATAAATTTGGTTATCACTAATCTGACTAATATAAATTCAATTCGAATGATTCAATTTAATATTATTTTCTTAATAATTGTTACAAATTGACTATATATATAAATTCTAAATGATATAGACATAATTTAGAAAGTTTAATTTAATATTAAATTTTTTATAATTTTTATAAATTGATTATCTAAATATACTCTGAATAATCTAAATTTAATATTAATTTTTTAATAATTTTTATATATTTTTATTTTGATAAATATAATATTAAAAATATTTTTAAAATAATTTAAAATCAACCAATGATACTATTTGAAGAGAAAATGAAAGCCAGTTCACCTTCTAGGTAACGAGCACGTCACCGAATGCAGATCGATTTCTCCGATTCGAACCTTCATTCACTTAATTTATTCAACATTTATATTTATCTAATTCTTTCCTTTAATTACATCGTGCTTTCCCTTATCATGCTCCCCTGCGATTTATAAAGAATAAATGTTTGATAATTTTGTATATCAACCATTTTACTACAGGAAGTTAACAACAACTTTATTATAAAAAAATTCCATCTAATTAATCTTCTAAAATTTACCATTGATACATAGAGCTTTAGAGTAGTTTGCGTTTTTGTGTGTACTTGGAGTAATTCACTCTTTTGTTTACAAATATAATTATTTGAAACCTATAATCTTCACTCAATCAAAGATTAGTTTCTGAATTTTAATTCAATAAAAATAGTTCTTATAATTTTTAGAAAAAAATTAATCTAAAAATTCTTCTAGTTTTTTTATGATTTTTTATTAAATACTTTTATTTTATTTTATTTTATTTTAATCAAACCCTTATAGTTTAATTTATTAGATATTTAGTATTGATTCTTAAAATTATTAATTTCTCTTTTCAAAAAAATAAAATTAAGGACTTATAGGTGTTTATTAGAAGATTTTATAATTTTAAAATTAATTTCACATTTCAAATTTTTATAATTCAAAATTTATATAATTAGGTTATTTTTTAAATAACTTATATATAGATATATATAATTTTCATAAAAAAGTAATAAAAATGTAAGTATTGTATTAAATCAAATGTTTTTTTTGCTAAAAGTATTACATTAATTTTTTAAAATTTCAAAAGTGTTTTTATTTTGGAAAAAGCCAGTATTGATTAATAATTTAAATTTTTATGGCCTAATATATTTAATTGATCAAATTTTAAGGATTTGAATAAAACAAAATAAACTGTAGGAATCTAATTCAAATTTAAAAAAAAAACTAAAATGTCTTATAGATTAATTTTCCTTGATTTTTCCAAGATTAAAATTTAATTCTTAAACTTTTAACTTAATACAATTAAAATCTCTCTAGTTTTAACATTTAAAAATGTTATTCCTATGGATCGCTTTGGGACTAGGTGGTCAGAGTATTGGACACCAAATCTTAAAGACCCCAATTCAATCTGCCCAAAATATTAGTTCCTATACTTTTTAATAGATAAAACTAAAAGGATTAAATTTATTCTTAGAATACTATTGTTCAATTTTTTAAATAGTTAAAATTATATAGATGGATTTTTATACTAAGTCAAAGATAAGTTTTAATTTATTCAAAATGAAACTTTTTCTTTTAAATTTTGTACCAATGCTTCCCCGAAATTATTATTTTTATCTTCGAGCCTCTATTTTGAGTTTTTCATTCCCTTGAAAGCGTATACTTCTCTTTAATAACACTGTTTAACACTACATAATTAACCTTGAGCTCCTCTCTCATGCGCAGTATTTTTCCACTTCAATCATAATCAATATCATATTTCCACTTTCATTTTTTTGTAAACGCAAGCCCGGATATTCATTGTCGGGAACGCAAGGTCCACGCAAATTCCCACTTCGGTTCCTCCTCACTTCCCTTCCCTTCCGCGCTCATCAAATCGCGCAGCATCACTTGTCTCAGATTCTTCTCTTGGCTCAGCGCGCCACTCACAAGCTGCGTTGAGAATCCAGGCTTGTATTTCTTCCCTCCTTCCTTCCTTCCTTCCTTTTTTTAAATTTTAGTGCATTCATTTTTAGACTCTTTAGATTTTTCTTTTTAATTCATTTTCCCCCATGCATGTGGAAAAATGCCTGATTCAGTGGAAGCCCATCTGCAAATTTCTTTTTAATCGATCGAATTTAAGTTAGATCCATCATGAATGACGACTCATCCTGAGTTTGTCGTTTGTATGTTTCTTTTCTTTCTGTCGTATTTGGGTTACTGAATGGAGACCTGAATTTTGTTATTGTTTCTGTTCAGTTGCTGGTGATTCAAATTGAACTGTCACTGAGTTTTTATTTTATGTATGATGGATTTAAGATGGAATCGTGGAAGCAACTGTGATTCTAACGATTGGGTTCAATATTTGTTAATAATTGATCGTCCTCTTATCCAGCTTAGATGATCCTCTGTTAGCTATCCATCTGCCATGGTGCAAACCCAAATAAACCAGATTGGATTGAAAAGCTTCTGACACTCTTAAACTTCTCTGGCTGGGAGGAATTAATAGGGCAGGCTTACAACATGTCTTATGTAAGGGCAAATATTGACTAGATCATTAGGCATTCTATTTAATGCCTCTTTTTTTTTTTTTTCAGTTGCAAGCGGAATGAGCACAGAAGCTGCATTGGTTTTTTTTTTTTTTTTTTTATATCACTGCTAGCTGCAAGTTAGAAAATATCTTTTTAAGAACTAGAAGTATGTGAATTTGATATAATGCTAATAGAAAAACTGATAAAGTATGGTGTGTACAAAGAATGGAATGAGATTAATGGAAAAGTGGAATTGAATGACATTTGTATCCCTGGATGAAATAGTAATACAAAAAGATGTATAACGATTACAAACGTATTATAGACATTGTGTATTTGCAGAATTATAAATTGCTTTGCAAGAGGGATTGCATTATCCCAGTGTACCTTTTTCCCCTTTAGAAAAGAGATAATAAAAGAATGAAGGATATGAAACTATATGATGCTACTAAAGGACAAAGTGTATAACATGATTTTTTGGGGTTTGAAAGGCTCTTATGGTTGCTTGAAACGAAGGATATATCATTAATGACTCAATGTTCAATACAGATGAAAAGATTTTAGGGTATAACCTGCTGTGCTTGTTGAGTTATAGATTGCTCTGGGTTGGCTGCTGCAGTTATTCTTCATGCTTGTTTATCTGATAATAAAACCTAGACAATCAACTGAAGATATACTGAAAATAGGGTTGGATTTGTGTATAGAAGTAAGCCTTATATATACGACTCGATGTTGTGCCCATTTTTGACATGGGGTTTAAAGGGAGTTACATTATTCATAACTTTATAAATAATATGGCTTCCTATGGATATATATATATATATATATTGTTATTGATGATTCTCCTTTGATTTCTGATGGTCAAAGTAGTTCAGAAATTTTACTGCTTTTAAGTTTTGTGGTTGGATGTATTTTGACCAATTGAATTGCTTGCGTTCGTAATTGATCTATAATTGATTTTCACACTCGTCTGCTTTTTCTTTATGCTTTACCAAATAATACACTGGAAGCAGGCACCTTTATAAATGTAGAGGATTTGAATTAGTATTTTGATTTCCATTGCATTGTTCTTCCCATACTGTGAACATGCATTGATATTATTGATACAATTTGCATCACAGGTGTCAGAGCCAAAAATGAGTCTGGCATGCCTTGTGTGCCAGAGTGTGGAAAGTCCATCACCATCACAGTCTTTCAGGAGTTACTCCGTCTCAAGTGCAGAAAATGAGGGAAGATGTTATGCTATTTCCAGCTGCTTAACAAAGAAATCATCATTCCCATCTCATACAATGAACACGTTTATTGCACCATCGTCATCCTCTAAAGTTGCCCCACACCCTGGTGTTTTAAGTAACGAAGAGATGCCAGGTACACCCCGACTTGTACGAAGTCGTGCAGTGAGGAGGGACCTTGTCAGAGACTGGAATTTCGATCAAGTTTTATTAGAAGGCTAGACTGTTAATATTCGATAGAAGAAACCTTAAAGGACTCTTCTTGTGGGATAGAGTGAGTAGAGCATGATATTTGCTTCGTTGCTTCTGATTATGTTATGTCGCAGTTGAACTCTCTTGGATTTGTAGCATTTGTAACTTTAAAGAAATTAATGGAACATTTTGTTCCTGTTTGTCCATAGACTCTGCAGCTTTTTGATCATTCTGCTTCGCACTTTCATCCATCACCTTCTTCCTTCCCATCTTTTTTGACCCAAGCTTTATCACAAACATATCATCTTCATTCTCATCCACCCTAACCTCCTCTCGAGTTTTCACTCTGACTTCATTGCTCTGCTTCCGTTCAAAATCACGCTTGCTTCCTCTTACACCCTGCTTTTGTCCAACCATCTTTAATAACCATTGTGGCGTCCGCCCAAAATCGAACATGACCTTCTGACCTGCAACTCCGTGGATCATGGCCAATTCTACTACAACGATAGCAGAAATTCTAAAGCCTCTCACGCCTTATAACAATCCATGTTTTATCTTTATTCGGCTTCGGAAGCCAAGAGCCCGCTGCTAGAGGTTTGCGTAAATTGAAAAGAATTTTGACGCGTAAGAAACCTTGAATCAATCTACCATTGAACCAAGGATCTTCAGCCATAACCACCTGCCCTACATGACCGTCAATCTGGACAACATTAGCAAGACCCATCACTGCTAAAGGTTTGGGATTCTCATGTACTCTTTCATGTTCTAATTGTAAAATGAAATTTTAAAGCTCTATTCGTTTTTAAGCACAGGACAAAATTATAGTAGTTGATTTATTTATTTTAATATGATCCCTTATTAATCACACCAGGTTGTGGCAACAAATACACTTCCTAAGAGCAAAATTAAAAACGTCACACAATTTTTAAAATTTAAAAGCTTTTAAATATTGTAAAATTAATTAATTTAAAAAAAGAATAATAGATAAATCCAAAATATGTAAATAATAATTTGGTTATAGAAATTCTTTAAAATTAAATTTTTATATGAAATTACTTTACCATTTTTTAGAATTTAAAAAGTTATTATTTTTTAAATTATTTTAGTCATAAAAATAATTACTGATACAAAAATTATGACTTCTTAAATCATTTTATTCATCAATAAGATCAAACTTGTAAATATTTATGATAAATTTGTCAACCATATAAAATTAATCGCTGACGAGAAGAAAAGGAAAGCGTTCATAGTAAGGGCGCAGGAGGCAGTATCGAGTTAACGTTACCAGTATGATCGTGTTCATAGATCGCCAACTTGCATATAGAATCTGAATTTCGGAAACTGCAGTTCCTTGATCTGAACTTTAAAACTACTGAGCGAGGTAGGATTGGAGAAAGAAGAAGCGATGCCTCCCAAGAACAACGCTACCTCTTCCTTCTCTGTTTCTGTGCTCTTCATAGCATTCGTCGTCCTTTGCATTCTTTCTCTGATCCTCTTCTTCTTCAGCACATCAAACCATTCAGAATCTTCCGTTTCTTCACTTTCTTACGTGAACATGCTTCAATCTACCGCTGGTTTCATCAACGTCTACGTCGCAGACCTACCCAGATCCCTGAACTATGGCCTTCTCGACAAATATTGGGCCTTCGATGCTGATTCTAGGCTTGGCAGCGACGCAGACCAGGAGATTCGGTCGAACAATTTGGCAAAAGGCCGCAAATTTCCACCGTATCCGGAGAACCCGTTGATAAAGCAGTACAGTGCGGAGTATTGGATCACAGGGGATTTGATGACTCCTCAGGAACAACGAACTCGGTCGTTTGCAAGACGGGTCTTTGATGTCAGAGAGGCCGATGTGATTTTTGTGCCGTTCTTCTCGACGCTGAGTGCAGAAATGCAGCTGGGTATGGCGAAAGGGCAGTTCAGGAAGAAAGTTGGAAATGAGGATTACCGGAGGCAGAAGGAGGTGATCGAGTTTCTTAAGAATACAGAAGCCTGGAATCGGTCTGGTGGGCGAGATCACGTCTTTGTTCTCACTGGTGTGTTCCAATTTCTATGTCTTTTAGCTTAGTTTCCATGGATGCAGTGCTTATATTTATGCCTCTTTGCAGTCTTTACTATTTGAATAACTGTTGTAAGTTATATCAACCGTAGTTAGACGTTTTGCCACTGGCAAATGGATCATTGCTCACCTTGGCAGGCATACTTTGATTTCTGAGAATATCGTGACGAGCTGCTAAGCATGTATAAAACTTTAAACATCTCCCAAATAAAAGGGTTTGTTAATCGGAAAATGCTTGAGGATCTCTCACTGTCATATCCATGTTCTGCCTCCTTCTGTGCATGAAACTTTCGATGAAATTGGAATGGCTAATTAGACCACACAAGTTCTAATTAAACATTTTCTTCACCCACTGAGCTTTTAAAAACTAGATTGTGAGCTCATGTCTAAGGTGCCCTGTTCATGGCTTATAATAGTATGGGTTATATAGATTATATGTGTATATATATAGATTTGGCACTTGATTCTGGTTACCTATTGACACTTGTTACTTTGTAGCATGTGCCTCTTGCTTCACTTTATGTCATTTATTTTGAAATGCTATAAGTTTATTTGTTGGTCACCATTTTATCATGTGCTGTCAGTATGATTATTATTGTGCTTGTGTTAAACTTTTAATAATTTTTCTCTTAACCTTGTATTCTTGTTCGCAAGGCCTAAAATATCCCAATCTCATCTTTTTTGTAAATTTATGCCTGCTATAAGAATTGGGTGCATCGACACTTTACCTGCCAGATGTTCAGATTTACATAGATGGCCATGTTTGGGAACAATCAGACAGTTATAGATAGAGAAATACGAAAAATGAAAGAAGCAAATTTCACTGCATGCTGTTGCTATCTTATAATTTAGTCTTTGAATTGTCAGGTTTTGTTAAAACTGAAGCATTCTTTGGCAGACCCAGTTGCAATGTGGCACGTCAAAGATGAGATTGCCCCTGCTGTTCTTCTTGTGGTAGATTTTGGTGGTTGGTACAGGCATGACTCCAAATCATCAAACTGTAGCTTACCTGATGCAGTTCCACACACCCAAGTTTCATTAATTAAAGATGTGATTGTTCCATACACCCATCTACTTCCCAGGTTGCCCTTGTCTGAAAACCAGGAGCGCCACAATCTTCTGTATTTCAAAGGGGCTAAACATAGGCACCGGGTACACGTTGCATCACTTGTCACTCATAAGTTCTTGTGGATCACATTTTTCAATTTTTATTTAAGCATCCTCCATTGATATACAACTGAATTCTGTGACTGTTGTCTCTTCCTTGTTAAGTTATTCTATTAATTACTGTTCTCTATGTCTCTTTCATGATATTCCTTGTCAAGCAATATCATCTTTTTTTATGATTTAAAAATTATGTACCTGCCATGTATAAGCTTCTCCTTAATGTAAGGTTCAAAATTGAGTTGATGCATGTGTTTTGATAATGAAAATAAACATTTGTGTTTTATGTCTCTATGTATGTTATTTGCACTTTGACAACATTTAACAAGTTTAGGCTTGGCTGCATTCCTACCAGAAACTTTAGATATTTGCTATTGCTCAATATAGTTATTTAGCTGGTCATGAATCAATTATAAAATCCTTTAAAGTGAAATTCTATTTCATTTTTAAATTCTAATTCTGTTTTTAAGAACCAAAGTATTAGGCAATATGAATTGATTTAACTGGCCTGTACAATTCACATAATAAAAATATTGTAATTGATTAAATTGTTATCTTCATCAGCCTGTCTTCATGTTGAAGACTTTATATTTCTAAATCTTGCCTTCCTTCCAACACTTATAGCCAAGGTTCTACATTTTAAGGAACACATTATGCCATCCTTGAAAACGTGTTCTCAATTATTTCTTTGTTAAGAGAATATTAGTAGATGAATTCAAGGTTTTAACTGTAAGTTGGAAAATGTTCCAGCTACCATTGCTGAAATTTATGGAATATTCAAAGGTCTTGAGATTTGTTGGAAGAAGAGTCTTAAGATTGTGGAGGTCTTTTGTGATTGTGCATATGCCATCTCGCTGATCACAAAGGACAACCATAGTGTCCACCCTTACATGGATATCATTGAGTCAATGAACAGATTACTGTGTAGACATTGGAACATTAGTTTCAACTTTGTTTATAGAGAGGATAATAGGATGGTCGACTATCTTGTTGAGTTAGCCCATAGTCTCCCTTGTGATTACAACCTTTTTGATCAACCACCTACTTGATAGGCATGGGTGGTTGTTGTGTTTACTTAGGCTGTTTTTGTTGTTATTTTCCATTTTTGTTATGAGCGGTTTGTTCTCTGTTTGTTTTTCTTGTTTTGAATGAAGTTTCTCGTGCATATTATATATATATATATCAAAAAAAAAAAAAGATGGATTTTTGAGGTGGGCTAAGATCAGATATTCCTGGTATATGTTGGATGAACTATATGTATACTCCCTTTACCTGATATTCCTCCCCCTCCCCCTCCTTACAGACACACACAGACCCTGTTATGAGATTCAAGGTCATTTTCTCCTGCTTAAAAAGGCTGGAGAGTCGTTTCCACGTTTTTTTCTTGTTAATTTTGAACTGAAAGGGATGTGAGATGAATGGGAAGGGAAGCTTTGGTTCCTTGCTATTTTGTGATAAATATTTTATTAATATCGGGTAATTTTTATGGAAAAAAATTAAGTTGAACATTTTCTTTCATCTTAGATCATCTAATTCTTTCTTCCTTTCCTAAACATCCTAATAATAGAAAGGAAAATCATGTATTTACCCCTCTGCCTTCTCTTTTCTTCCCTTTCCATATCACAATGAAGTAATAAACTACTCCCTTTGATCCTATTTATAAATCACTTCCAACATTTTCATCAGAAATAAGAAAAATCTTAAACCTCATTAATTCTGTCTAAATATTAAACAAGTTCCCGATTTTACCCCTATTAAATATACCTATTTTAAAATAAAATATTCTAATATTTAATAAACTTTCCTATATTTAATAGGGGCAAAATTATAAAGATGAATATAATAATCATTGAGATGCCTTATAAATAAGACCAAAGCAAACGTTCTCTCTCTACTCTATAAATAGGATTAGAGGATTAACTCTTGGGGTATTATATGCCAATGGTTCTTTTGGATACTAATCTAAAATATTTATGATAAATCTAGTTTTCTGATTTTGAATTGTCATTGGTGTTAGTGTTCCATGCTTAACCCTTGACAAATTATTCTACTTGCAGGGAGGCCTAGTTAGAGAGAAGCTATGGGATCTATTGGTTAATGAGCCAGGTGTTATAATGGAGGTTGGTTTTCCAAATGCCACTGGGCGAGACCAATCAATAAGAGGGATGAGGACATCAGAGTTTTGCCTGCACCCTGCTGGGGACACACCCACTTCATGCCGGCTATTTGACGCCATACAAAGTCTCTGTATACCAGTCATTATCAGTGACAACATTGAGCTCCCATTTGAAGGGATGGTGGATTATTCAAAATTTTCTGTTTTTGTGGCAGTCAATGATGCACTGAGACCTAGCTGGCTTGTCGATCATCTAAAAAAATTTTCTGAAGGGCAGAAAGGAAGTTTCCGTCAAAATATGGCTCGAGTACAACCCATGTTTGACTATGATAATGGTCATCCAGATGGGATTGGACCAATACCCCTAGATGGTGCTGTGAATCGTATATGGAGAAAAGTTCACCAGAAGTTACCAATGATTAGAGAAGCCATTGTTCGAGAAAGACGAAAACCACCTGGTGTTTCAGCTCTCCGCCGCTGCCATTGCACTTGAACTGAGTTGGTCATCTATCCAAATCCTCAATATTTATAGAAGTGGATGCATATAGTGCATCCAGAGAAAAATAGCGAAAAAATGTGATGGATGTGAAGATAAGATGTGGGTCTTACACTGATTACATTTTTGGTGTAATACTATCCCCGAACATAAGTAACGTGATAGTTGAGGATCAGATTTGGTTATGTTTCTCTACTGACAGGCTTCTGGTCCTTCAGATTTGTCGGGAACATCATGAGATACTTGGGAAAATGGTATAGCAACAACTTGTTGGCTAAAATATGCTATTGTCTTAAAGAGGCCATTATTCGTGAGGAGAGAATATTATTGGTCAGTGTACATTTGTTCTTGATCGGCCAGTCTCTGTATTTTCTTATGATAATTTTATCCCAAAACTCGAGAAAAAAAGTCGACCAAAGCAACAAAAATAACGAAGATAACAGGGACATACAATAATATCAAAATCTCAATATTAGGGAAGGTAAATAATAATGATTAACCGGAGATTTCAGTAGCAACGAGAAGTGTTAATCTCTGCTAGCTGAATATTGAAGTATCGGGCCAGTCTCTGTTCGCTTTTTATGTGAGCTCGTTCCAGTTTTCATCCGGAGCTATGTTTATCAGGCCTTGTAATGCGTCATTAGGTTTAGGTTTATCTATTATTTATGTTCCTCTTTGCCTTTGATCTTCAGTAATTAGACCTGCAGCGGATGTAAGGGCACTGAACATCACCAAGTTTTGCTAAAGGAGAATGGAATTTTGAAATTTTTGAAATAAAAAAAAAAAGATCATAGCTCTTAACTATATTTTAAAATTTTTGTGAAGTTAGTTTTTTTTTTTAATTTTTACATTTTGTTTGAGTTTTATTATAAGTCATTGTACTTTTTTTTATTGTTTTAGATTTCTACATAATATTTACATAAGAATTTAGAATGTTAAAAGAAATTATAATAACCCATAACAAGTATAAAATCTAAGATCATATTTTTTATTTTTTATTCATGATTTACATTTTTAATATTTAATTTTAGCATTTTCAGTATTCTTGTTTTTCATATTTATCTTATATGTTTTTTAATATATATCTTTCATGTTTTTACTGCCAAAAAATACTTATATTTTTGTCATAAAAAAGATATTTATATTTAATTCTTTTTAATATTAAAATGATGGAAGATGTGCGTCAAAAACCTACAAGCTAACAATTACTTTCATTTTTTTCTCCCAATTTTCTTAGTTGTGTAACTTCCTTCCAACCGATTGCATCAAGGCAGCAATAATTAATTTTCGTTGTTTATCAAAATCATATTTCGTATGTGAATTATAACCCCGATAAAACCCATTCTCGCGAGTGGCGGATTCACTTCGTCGACGAACCAGCATTCCATACTTCGGCGGACGCCGCCCACCGTTGTCAGCCTTGCGTGGTTGTTCTCGGGCAAGCAGTGAAGAAGGTTCGAACCCCAGGTCTTTTTCTACTCCCAAAGCCTGGTGAGATTGAGTTGTTCAATCTGGCTTTGAATCTAGATTTTACTTTGTTCCCTGCGTGGCTGTTCTTGCTTTGTTTTAAATTTTTCATTTTAATTTGGCTTTGAATCTGGTCGTGTAACCGTTGAATATTGGACGCTTTTGAATTTGGGAATATTTACATATTGAGTTTAATTTTGTTTTTTTTTTTTGGGTACTCGTTTTCGCTTGAGTGGTGTGTAATTGACTATTGTACTTCTTCCCTCTTCATTTTGATTACTAGCGACTTGTATGATTTGGATTGTGTATTTTTGCAATGTTGGATTTGTTTTGTATTGGCATTCCCGTCTAATCTTTTTAGATTATAATCAATTTTGGAGAATTCTCAAGGTATTTGTGATGAATGATCTTGTAAATGACTTGGCTCGAGTTGTGTCAAAAGTATCTCGAGCAAGACTCTTAAAAGGGTATTATATCAACTATGCATGTTTCAAAGTTTTCAGTGGGGGCATCATAGGTCCGCCTATGGTTGTTGGTTTAGACTTACATAGCGTTCATCTTATTTTGAAGATTGAACTATGAAGTATTGAGGGTCATATGTTGTTGGAAGCTCTTGGCTTAAATTTGAGCTTTATGATCTTTAACAGATTTACAGTCTGCATTTGTAGGCTTTACAATAATTTAGTTGCCTTTAATTTTGTCTAAATTTGTGATATTTTATGCTATTGAGAATATTTTCTTTTTAAGCATGGAATGTCTAATAGAACTTAACAACCTGGATGTTAATTTCAAGGCGATACGAGAGACAACCTTAATAATGGGGTCCAGTTCCCTGAAAGAATATCTAAAAAGGTATGAAAGTAACCCAGAAGAAGGAACGACAAACAATAAGAAGAAAAAGAAGCAAAAGAAGAAGAAGCCCCAGACACAAGCAACTGGATTAGTTGTGGTGGATGAAGATCCCATATGGCAGAGACCAGTAGATATTGGAGAAGAAAATAGTGGCAACTCATCAGGTAAATGACAAATGTTAATATCTATTCATATAAGACAATTAATTATGGTTTTTGTAATATTTACAAAATAACTCTGTTCTATTGGTTTGTGTAGATGAGGAGAAGCCAGTGGTAGATGAAGACATTGAAGTTAAGCGTATGAGGAGGCTTGAACAACTGAGAGCCAGGCGTCCTTATCATGCTATATCTGAGGATGGCAGTGGTTGGGTTTCACTTTCTCCTAAGCACGTCATTTCTAATAACATCAATAATGACATGTCTCCACCCCGTAAAGGGAAGATTCGGAATGACACTCCTTCACCAGAACCTGAATTGAATCCATGGACTTCTAATGTAGAAGATACTGATTTATCACCTCCTCGCCAGCATTCAATACGCTATGACACTCCATCACCTGAACATGCCCCACAACGTGTACATTCAAGGGACAAGGATTCTGATTTATCTCTCCCTCGAAAACAGAGTGCTCAGAGTGTTACACTTTCACCAGCTCGTAAGTTTAAGCCATTAGATTCTAGAATTGAAGATACTGATTTATCACCTCCTCGGCAACGACATAAAGGTAAACTGTACGCCATCCCTTGAATGCTCAAACCTAATATTATCTGGAGCATGCTCACATTTGAATGCTGACCTTTTCCTTTCTTGATGTCCTCATTTTCAAACATGAGAAGATTGTGGAAAAAGGGAGATGGAGACTGCTGAATTGCATGACATCTCTCCACCTCAACAAGGTCATCATGATTCTCACTATCAAGAATGCTTACATAAATCATTGGAGTTGGACCTTTCACCCCCAAGGAAAAGAAGGAATGATATGGGTGGACAGGGTTTAGCTGATCCTTCTCCCAGTCATTCTCATAGCCCTTCTGCAAGAGTTGTTTCACATCCATCCTTGTCTCCTGATCTTTCTCCCCCAAGAAAAAAAAAAAAGGAAGTAGATGTTCCAACTTCTGTGAAGAATCCGAAAACAGGCTTAATTTCTGGTCGGGATATTAGGGAAGAAATTAACAAAAAGAAGAAAGATGATTGGTTGAGGTAATTGTTATTGGCATAATTTTTCTGTGCATTTTTTATCATATATATTGTATGAAATAATGTAAAATATGGAGCGTTATCCATACCTCTTGTGTTAAAACTTGTGCCTATAATTTAATGCAATGCGAGTTTTTAATTTGGTTATGGTAGTATGGGTGTTGGAAATAATTCTTTTAGGTTTTGATGTAAAGAGTGTTGCAGCGTCAGCAACAATGTCTGTTTATTGTCCAGTGTTTTTTTATATGCCGTATTGAGTGCATGTGATAACTTGTTCAATGCTGCTTTGAGAACATGCATGTTTTCTTTCCATTTTAATGTTTGCCTGCTTTCCAATTATTTTATTAGATTATGATTCCAAACTTGTCCATCTATATTGTTGTCATGAAGCAACCTGCCAAAAGTATAATAAAGTATTGCTCCTCTTTCCTTATCTTATTGGCTGTTTCGTACTTAATTCTCTGCAGCATCGGGTGTTCCCGTACTTATATGCCTTACAGCCTTAATTGAATTACTAATCTATGTTGTTTGTTTAAAGGATTGTCAGGGTCTTTACCCTTTGGCCCTGTTTACTATGATATATAATAAAATATATACAAAAGAATATGGAGTTTATGAGAAGTTGAATTTACCATTAACTCTTTCCAATTGGTAATCATCTCAAGAAGAATATCTTGTATTACCCTAGAAATTGAGATTAATTATTTTCTACAGATTTAAACAGATGGATCCAAACATCAGTGGGCGTGGTGCTGAACCTGTGTATCGTGATAAAATAAAAGGTATGAAGAGTCAATCTTCATTTGGTGCTCTTTTGTTCAGATTATCTAATATGCCTTTGTGCTAAATATGCTTATATGTAAATTATGCTCAAATCTGCAGGAGAACGCATTTCAAAGGAGGAATACTTGAAGTCAAAACAAAAAATTGAAGAAAAGCCCAAGGTATTTTGTTGCACCACAATTGCTTGCAGCAGAAGTGTGTCTTTTCTGGTTGTAACCTTTTTATGCATGCACCGCATACTTAGGTTGTCTTCTCTTGGTTGTCTGTTGTGAATTATAATGGGAACTACACCCAAATATTATCAAGTAACAGGGATAGCAAAAGGATTGCTACCACATTCAGGACCCATTGGTTGGGGGAGGGTGAGGAAACCCCTTTTCCTCACGCAAAAATAGAGATATGTAATATCAAATATGTGCCTGTTATCATTATTCAACAGTATGAAGCACCAATACTTCAAAAAAGTAAACATACCATATTTGATATGTATCTAATATGATACATGTATTATATTTAATATGTATCATATATTCCAATGTTTGTATTACAATTTTTTTTTCCCAACAAAATGTTTCTCTGTCACTTAAAAACTTAAGAAAAAAACTTAATATTTTGGTGATTGTTACAAATATTCTTATATTACTTTAGAAATATAAGTTTAAAGCTCAAGATACTTATACCTATATCTTACAATGTTGAAATATATATTATACATATTCCTGTACCCTATCTAAATTTTGAAAATTGCCATATCAGATTGATATCGTATTCAATACATGTACCCATATTGATGCTTCTTAATCACTTGTATCTAGTACTTTTTTTCTTCAAGGACAAGAAGGACATTTCTCATCTACAAAGCAGAAAACCAAGAACTTAGAATTTCAGAAATTATGCTTTGCTTATTTATACCCTCTGGAATGTGAAAACCATATATTCTAATTTCATAATTGATATCATTACTATATTGAAAACCATATGATTTGGCTTTCAGTTTGCATTAGTGGTTCTGCCAATACTGGAATT